TTATAAAAGCTCGACTAGAGAACAGCACGTGAATGTGAGTCCTGTGTTGCTGAAATCGCAGAGGTGTACGGATACATAGCCTATAACACGAGGGTGAGTAGGATCACTTTTAGCGCTGCTTATATCTGCTGAATGACTCTGTTCATTCATCGCTACATGTGACTGGAGTTCTAATGGCAACGCTGGGAAGAGTTGGAGAGTTGTGCTGTTATTAATTCAATACAATCCAACAAGTTGTTCAGGTTGCGTTGGGATCTTCGTTTGCATAACGGCGAGTTGCTCTTCCAACTTTACTGCAATTAAGCAGCAAACCGGGAATCACAATGATACGCTCCAGTGATGTGGGGGATGTCGATGGTTTTCCTGTTCTGTAGAGCGTTAATCGCGTTTTGGAAGCCTATGGCTACAAACAGACATTGTATGATCTGAAAAGATGAGAGGATGTAATTGAAAAAGAAGCGCTTCTCTGTGCATCACTGCACGTGAGACACTGGGACGTTGTAGAGTGTCGAGGAAAACGATTATTACTGCAAAGATGTTGGTTTTATTCATATATGCTGACAAAGAAACTCAATATATATGGGTCAATGATAAATAAATATGCCAGAGATAAAGAAATGTGACCTATGTATTCCTATTGGTTGAATACATCAATCGAGTACTAAATACTAATTATTTCATTTTGAAGGTAGAAAAAGCAATCTTAAAAATATCATGACATGCATATGAAGAAGTTTTTAGGATTTCTCCATCTGACATGAAAACGTCATTTTTAAGTCAAACAAGAAAATGTGATTAAAATATGTGATTAAAAAAAAATCTTTAATGACCTTGACACTGTCCTAAAGGTCTGAAGGGGTCCTCTCATGTTTATGGTGTCCTTGTCGTATGACAGTAAAATGGCTTTCTGCATGTTTGACTTTGATTTGGTAAGAAGTTTTTATTCTCTACTTTAAAATAATTAATTTTAAAAGATTATGACAAAAAATCATTCAGACATTGGGAAATGTTAATCACAGGAACAGTCTATATGAATTTCATTTAATCTAATTATGAATAACGTAATAGACTAAGTGCATGTTGGACAGTCTAGAGAAAAAAATATTAAACACACTGAGTGATAATCTTAATATTTCATGCTCACCAAGTATATTTTAATATTTCACTTTATTATTAATGTATTCATTTATTTTATTTTAGGGCACAATCTCACTTTTCTGTACAGTTTTACCCTCCTAAACCATTGCATTTCCTGACTGATCTAAACAAATGGAATTTCTGTTGTAATTTGGAACCAATCCGAATTGGAGCAAACAAAAGTCATCTAAGAATCATATAAGATAATGCTGAATAACATTTTAGTTCATCAAGTAGGATCTTATTTGATTCTTTGAGGATTCCTGTCTGTTCTCATTATGACTGGTTCCAAATTATGATTGAAATTCCATTAGCATTCCTTCAGAATGGTTGGACGAGGGATTAAACTGTTGAGACAGGGCTATGACATTCTGTGAGACTTGATGAATTCCAGCCTTGTGCCTCACTCTTTCTGTTTCTGCTTTCTCATATTTGTGACTGCAGGATACTAGAACAAGTTAAGACACTTTCCTGTTTTAACTTTACCTTTTAAATCGGGGCATTTAACAGGTGTTAGAAGAAAGAAAACTAGAAAGGTCATAAAGAGAAAACAATGCAATGCAAGGAAAGGTTTTGTTTTACAAATTCCTAAGTGCTTCCCAGACATAATGTGTTTGTTAGCATTTTATTGATCATGTGCCCAACTGATTTGTATGCAGTGATACTAATGTAGTTGTAGATGTAACAATATCACAACTAGAAAGCCCAGGACAGCCTAGGTTTATATGAACTTGAGAACATCTTGTTTAAAATTTGTGCTCGTCCTTAAAAGGGTTTGTTGTTCAGAGACTCTTCAGCATAATTAGATTAATTAGATTTGGTTTTGTCTTGTGTTTGTGTCGTGTTTACCAAGATGTACAGCCTAATAAAATCCTTATGTCTGTGTTTGATGTTCTGTGATCGAATGGCCTCTAGGATGTTTGTAGGAGTTTAATGTAAATCCTGTTACATGATGTGATCTAACGTTCCTGTTTATTAGAGCGATAGAGTTAAGCCTTCAGGGGTTTACGGGCATTATAAAAAACATAGCAGGTTCAGACAGAACAACATAACTGATTTGTTGTGCAAAAACAGGATGGCAGTCCAGAGTCGGCATGAAATTGCATGTCCTACAGATAGCATTGATCTGACAGGTCTGCAATGAATACTTTATTTGCACTTTCAAAATAATGTAAAGCCCCTTTTCATAAAATGAAGACGTGAAGGAAGATTGCCTTCATCAGTAATAACCCTAATCCTCATCCTCCTGAGTCCATACTTGGAGAACAGATCTCATTCGCAGCTGTAGTTCGAGTCAGCGTGTCGAAAACAAGGATAGCTGGTTACATATATGTTTCTGCTTTGGACGGCTTTACTTCCAAAAGAAGGACATCTCTACATTCTGATGCCATGAATCGAGAAGGAGTTTCGGTTTTGTCGACAACTTTGTTCTCCGGTTTGCTGCTCCTTTGTGTTTTGGCACTGCTGTGTTTCTTCACCTGCAGACTAGCTTCAAGAGTTCTGCCAGTTGGAGCCCCACTGCGTTTTTGACAGAGCATGTGAATGAGCCTCAAGTCATGGTAAAAGTGTCTTTGTAGCAGAACTAATAGGAAGAAAATGTTTAGAAGTTAACTGGTTCAGGTCTGTGTGCTGTTGACGGTGTGTCAATTGTAACACGGGAAACAAATACTTTTAATAACTTGCATTAGTGATGTTGATGGTTGTTGGCTTCAGGATGATTATTAGGTAGTGAACTTTTTTATAACCAAATACCAAAGGGTTTGGGCCAATATTAAGGAGATTTAAAAAGTAAAACAGGCAATTAAACAAACAAGATAACCACATTCCTTAACGATCAAGAAAGAAAAGACACACACACACATATATATATGTAGTGAAACTGCAGTGAAAAGCAATTCATTTCATTGCACTATAAATGAAGCAAATAATTTCTAGCTATGTTTTTCACACTTCGAAACTGCGTGGGAAGTACCAGACCTGAAAGAACCCCATAGCTGTGCATTTACTCAAACATTTCATATGAGATAATATTTCAATGCATTACGTGACTAACACAATGCACATTTTTTCCAGTTTTACAAGTGTAAATACAAAGTGGTCAAAGCTCCAGGCAGCATGGCTAACGTATAGGTTGATTGAACACATGACTTTGATACAGACTGATGCTTTCTGCGCAATGACTAAAGACCCCATTAAAAGGATCTGAAGTAAGCTGAGAAAGTGTGTGTACGCAATAGAAATCTTGCGGTCCTGTTCCTTGGAACAGAGGTGTCCAGTTAATCAGCTTTGTCATGCCTATTAAAGCACCATGTGCAGTGGCACTCAATCCCATTAAAGTGACCTTGACTAAAGAGTAGAAGACATAAAGGTTTAATACTAATAATGCAGCCATATCACGTTTTCAGGTGTGAACTTTTAGGTAGCTACACAAATGAATGTGCAAATATGCCACTAAATTATTGCTTGTACCAATTTTTGTGACGTGCATCCCCAGCTGAAACAGTCAATCATATTTCATTTGTTTTTGCACATGAATATAAGATTTTGATGGAAAAAAATATGCCTTGGGATAGTAAATAGTTGTTTTCTGTCTTTAAAGAAGAAGTGTGTCATTCCACATGTAGCAGCAACAATAATAATTGTTTTCAAACTAAATATACTGGAGAAATGTAGCCCTGCCCCAAACTCACACCGTTGGTTGAGCTCATATAATTATGTTAGACTGCTCAAACAAATAGATGGAAGTGCCACAGAGTTCAAATCAGCATATGAATGGCTTACTTATAGCTATCTCTGAACATTGAATTGGGAATAGAAGAAAATTTGAACATTGACTAGACATTACCTGTTTTCGTTGCAGATCTTGGAGTCTTCTGACATCCTTGGAACTTGAGTTATTCTGCAAAACGGCGGCTGATACAAAATGAAGGTCGCTGCACTCTTTATTCTCGGTTGCCTGGTTTGGGAAGGAATGGCAAAGCCTGAATTTCCAGGTCAGTTGAGACACTTTTTTTGTTTATTGGCCTTTTGCCATTATTAGATATGAAAACTGACAATGACACTTTTCTCTGCGACGATGAGCATATTGTCTCTTTAAAATTTAATAGAGACTGTTTTAGAGCACATTATAGCTAGGGTGCTAAATCCTGTTCCTGAAGACCTACCTTCTTGCTTAGTTTACCTCCAGCCCTAAATCAAATACTTGTGAACCAGCAAATCGAGATCTTCAAGAAGACTTAAGGATAATAACAAACATTTGTACTGGAGGAGGGTTGGAACTAAACTCTGCAGGAAAGTAGCATTTTTGAGCACCCCTACCTTATAATTTGCCTGCAGTATCTTTGATTTATGCAGAGTCATATAGTGTCAGATGAGTGCTTCATAAACGGTGTAACTCCATCTCAGACCACTGAAGTTTAATAGTCTTCTTTTTGACCTTGTACCAACTATAAACATAGAATAAATCTCATTTCAAATGAACATCAGCTTCCATAAGAAGATTGGACTTTCGGGTCATATGGTCCCAGATGTGTTCATTTACGTGATTGTGGGCTTTAAGAAGCTTATGTGGACTGAAGAAGACATGCATAACAGAAATTTAGTTGTTGTCGTCGTAACTTTAGAGAGCGATAGCATACTCATAATCTCTAAATGGATACTTCCGGTCTAAGACCATGATCATTATCTTGTTTTGCAGGAGCAACTTTGTTGGTTGTGTGTTATAATTTGTGGGCAAAGGTGTAAACATGTTTTCTTACGGCTTGTAGAACAAGAGAAGGACCCTGATTTCTGGAAGGAATGGGCTCAGCGCACACTAAAAAATGCTTTGACCCTCCAAGACCTCAACAAAAATGTTGCTAAGAACATCATTCTTTTTCTTGGTGATGGTAAGTTGTTGTTTTTTCCAACCAAGTCTTGGAAACTGTTTGTGCAATACCAGGTCTAACAAAAAGAGTTAAATATTTTTAAAAGCACTGTTACAGTGTATGCACCTGCTTCAAAATTAAGCATTAACATGGGCAAGTTAAGGAGAAATAAACAAATTAACCACAGTCAATGTCTGGATGAACTCCAGCTTGCACAATGAAAAAACAGCAGTTATCAAAATAAGCATAGGCGATAAAAGCAAGGAAAGAAGGAAGGAAAAGGTAGTCTGAATATTGTTTGCAGAAAACAATACCTCAGAAATGATCCAAATTTACAGGAAGAATTTAGTTTATTTTGCACCACACCCCTGTAAAAGCAATGCTGGCATATAAGCTCCAGTTTATAAAAACCTAAAAATGATATCTTATGAAGCCTCAGTTCAACCACTGTCATGTAGATTTATTGCAGTTCTCACTGTCCACTATAACAAAAACCACATACCAGCCACAAAAGGATGAATTCACATAAAAGATTATCTAGAAGCCATGGCTGAAATGGAGATTGAAGAAGATTTGTATCAGTTGACCTGTTGATTCATGCATTAAGGTGATTGAAATTGTAATGTTTCTGATGATTTTCTTGGAGGTCAGCCAACCAAGTTAAAAAAAGACTTGTGAATTTGAATAGGTTTTGTATGCAATATATCCTATTTTATTAAAATGTCGCATCACTCAAAGCCATGATAATTTAATGTTGATTATATAACCACTTCTGACAGATTCAGTGAGTTGATTCGAGGATTGAGTTCAAGAGTCCATCAAACAGAAACCCAAGAGCTGTTTTCCGTCTCATGAGAGTCATTTGTTCATGAATTCGAATTCACTGGTTTCACTGTTTAATTCTCTAAAAAGAAGCAGTGTGAAAGAGTCACTTGTTCAGGAATCGAACCACACTGAATGTATTTGATTAACTGAAAAGAACCAGATTAAAAGAGTAATTTGTCATTTGTTACACCAGACTACACCACTCAATAAAAAAGTTACTTGCCATTATTTAGTGGTACACAGTCTTGTCATCTCATCACATTAAATTTGGACTGAAAACATGGTTCAAATATAACTTATTTTGGTGGTTGACTGTGGAAAAAGTTGGCAGGATCAGGGTTTAGTCGATATTGTTCAAATGAGGTTATAGAATGCTTTTAAAAGTCATAGTTTTTTTGAAGATGACCTTGTCCTCATGCCAAGAATACAAGGTAAACAAATATGTATTTGCCTAAACATTTTGAGTACTTGCAATTCGATCAAATTGCTCTGTTTTATATTTCAGAGTACTTTTGATACAATTTCAGTTTATAGCAACTAAAGCCAAGACCCTAATTTCATACATTAACATTTTACAATAATTACATTTTGAATATTTCATGATTTATTTAAGCTTCATATAAGTATAAGGTTTAAAGACAGAATTTGTGAACTCTTTTCAATGGAATTGTGCATTTTTAACCTTTTCAAGTGGACTTTTAAGTGAACTTTAATTTGCCTCATGCTTTTAAGAAGAGCAGGTTATGTCATTAAGTGAGAAGTGGCCCTTTCATCTCACAATTATGAACAAAATTCAAGATTTAATTCTTGTTCAGTAACATAATATAAGGGCTTTCTCAAGCACCTTTGAGGTTCTAAAGTAAAGGCAGACTATGTTGTTCATGATAGAAGGTGCTTGAAGGATATGTTGTTAAAAATAGACTGTGTGAATGATCCAACCTTTGTTGTGTGTAGGCATGGGTGTACCCACAGTCACAGCAGCACGCATTCTAAAGGGTCAACTGAGTGGACAGAATGGTGAGGAAACGCAGCTAGAGATGGACAAATTTCCCTACGTTGCCCTCTCTAAGGTACATCCCACGTGCTGTAATCCCATCATACCATTCCTTTGTGTTCATAATCCATGCAGTCGCTCACCCCGGGCCACAGAGAACCGATTCAAATCATAGTTTCATTTCTCTAGAGGTCACAGTTCTGGGACGATGGCTCTCTTAAAATAAATATTTCACAGATGTTAGCTATTATTAAAATAACATCTGTGAAAGATAGTCAATTATTATCTTCAAGATTTATGAAGCTGTTTTCTTTTTGGCTTCATGTAAACTTTTCACTTAACCCTATAAAGCCTATTTGAAATACAAATTTCTAAGGGCTCCAAATTACTAACGTGATTAAAACTGTTGTACACAATCTATTACACGCCATTGTCATATGATTGATATTTTAAATGTTTTTAGCAGGTAGAAGGCATTTTAGTATAATTCAAAAAACGTTCCCCTTCAAGTCGTGGTGCGTGTATCTTTTTGCTGTGAAATCTTTACTGATTCTTCTAAAGTCAGCAAATAAGTTTAAGAATATATTTTATATTGTTAGTGAGATTTCAAGATGAACACTTACTGGACTGAAGCAATTTAGATGGACCTGATTATCAATACATCATTTTTTAAGAAAAATTATGTTAAAAAATGAGTATCAAATATGATACATCAGGCTTTTGAGGACCGTTTATCTCTCAATCATCTTTTAAATACATATTATTGGGATATTATTTTAATATGCATTATCATCTATACTGTTGTAAAGATCTCATTGATTTACTTTACAAGCTTAGAATTTCATTTTACCTTCTGGCCACATAAATGACAGCAACTGCACCAAATTTCATATTTTTGCTCAGCTTGGGCATAAAATTGAGGTGTTTTGTTTCTCCTTGTGTATGAGCTCCAGATTATCCTCATACTACATGAGCCATAAAAGCCAGATGTATCAAATATGATACTCAACAAAA